CTCTCTCTCTCTCTCTCTCCCTCCCTCCCTCCCTCCCTCCCTCTCTCTCCCTCTCCCTCTCTCTCTCTCTCCCTCTCTCTCTTTCTCCCTCCCTCTCTCTCTCCCTCCCCCCTCTCAAAAATAAACATTAAAAAAATAATAAAATAAGATGAACAGTTGAAAGCATCTACCTCCAAAATTACCTACCTTATTTGTGAAATAAGTTACCAGCCATCTGATGAATGAAAGAGGAAGGACAAGTCTATGGAAATTCATCTGTCATAGCTAAATTTTGAAATAGCATTTATTTTGCATGGGAGTTGGAATTTACATGCAAGACCTAACACGATTGCCAGGTATTTTTGAGAAATGACCAAAATGACCTGAGATACAGTTGTGTATTTACTGTGCTGTCTACTGGAATTATTTCATTGTGAGAGGCAGAAATTTTCAGCCAAAAGATTTTCTCTGCAGACATAGAGATTGCACTTAAATGTATAATTCAGTTGTGAATGAGATGGCGGTGAAAGTATTTACTGCATTGTGCTCTGTTTTAATATTTTATTTATTTTCCCATTAGCCAAAAGATAAAGTATAAGGCTGGCTTCCCATTTTAATTATAAATTAATAAATTCTTAACATGTTCTTGAAAGCCCCCTAACACTCTCCTCCTCCACCCTAGTAACATAGTTTATGTATGCTGCATCATAATATATTTGCAGATGTTCATATTTATTCAGCTTTCATCTTATCTTCAAGCCCAGATTTCCCCCAGGGAGTTTGAGGTTTGTGTCCGTGGAATCCCAGGGTGTCTGCTTCCCTCCTATATCTGTCTTTAGACATTTGTTGTATCAAAGCAGCATCTTAAATCTGAATTTTACTGTTAGCAGTAATCAGTCCCCCATTCTCATGTCCTGTTTTTGACTATTTGTGTCCCTTTTCCATTTTTGTCTTTAATCTGTTTCATTATTTTGACTGCCTACTCCAAGGTTTTAGAGCTGTGCTATCCAATAAAGTAACCACTAGTGACATGTGCTTATTAAATTTAGATTAATTACAATTAAATAACTAAACTTAAGACCCTCAGTAATGCTAGCCAGATTTCAGGTGTTCTTTTTTTTTTAATTTTAAAATTTTTTCAAAAGTTTATTTACTTTTGAGAGAGCATGAGTGAAGGAAGGGCAGAGAGAGAGGGAGACACAGAATCCGAAGCAAGCTCCAGGCTCTGAGCTGTCAGCACAGACCCCAATGCGGGGCTCCAACCTGCGAACCGCAAGGGCATGACCTGAGCCAGAGTTGGATGCTTATGTAACTGAGCCCCCCCCCAAGGCGCCCCAGATTTTAGGTGCCCTTTAATGACATGGATCTGATTGCTGCTGTGTGGATAATGTAGGTAACAGAGCATTTCCTTCATCACAGCAAGTTCCACCGAACTTCTTGTTCTACATCTTATGTTTTTACTGGACTTTTTTGGCTTATAAGTAATTTCTTTTCTGCTTCTCCCTATTCCCTTTAATGGGTTTCCTCAAGTAGTTTTTTCATTTTATTTCTTTTCTTGATGTAAGTGCTTATATCATCTATTTAATCTTTAATTAATTAAATATTTAAGATAAAATTTTCTGTGAATATCGCTTTAGTTTGTTCCGTTGGTACATTTATATATGTATAGGGACATTGCAGGTTCCTTTTTTTTTTTAATGCGAGGTTTTCCTCCATCCTTGTCACAAGCCCTTTGTATTCAGGGACCGTTGTGCACTGTAAAGGGGGATCTTCTCTTTGGGAGTGTGATGCTTTCATATATGAAATTCTAGAATAATTATAAATTTCATTCTCTTTTCACCTTTTCTGAACAGCTTTGGATGTACTGGATGTTAAAAATTATGCAAGGTTGGATTTTGATTTGTGATCAAATGAGCTGATAGGTTTTTCCATTTACAGTATTAATTTGAAAGATACAGTTGTTCTAGTTTTATACTTCTTCATACTTAAAGCTATTTTCCTGTACTCTGTGCCTTTGCTTTCCAATCTGTGTATTGCTAGAAGGTTAGAGGCAAGAAGGCAAGACTCTCTTGGTTAACCTGTAAACTGCCGTCTCCCCAGCACCTGGAATAGCTTGGCCCATCACTGGTCTTGGGATTTGAGGGAGCTCGCTTAATAATATCATTTCTTCAGACTGCACTTCGGAAAGAAAAGGAAACACAGGCGAATGGGAATAGATACCAGTCATTTTTTTTGGCACATCTGTTGGAGAACCTGGTTTTGGAATGGAGAAAACAAATGTTGCACCCCAGACCTAAGCAGCTATGTTCAGATAGCCTGGGAAGGACTGGGAAATCTTAATGGTTAGTTAGCAGTGCTCTAAAAAATAGTGAGGTGATACTGAGGATGCAGAAGGCCTTCTTCCCAGTGACCCTTTAAGAGATCTCGAGGGAGGGGCTGAGCTGTGTAATCACCCATCCTAAAGTCATCAAAGACGTGTCACTATTCCTGGTTGGGTGGGAAGTTGGTTAGTATAGTGTTGTGTGAATGAATGGATAACTTGGAACTGTTAAATAGGTTTTATTGGTTCTAAAGTTGGCTTATATAGCTATTTTATTTATTTATTTATTTATTTATTTATTTATTTATTTATATTCATTTTTGAGAGACAGAGAGAGACAGAGTGTGAGCAGGGGAAGGGCAGAGAGGGACACACAGAATCCGAAGCAGGCTCCAGGCTCTGAGCTGTCAGCACAGGGCCTGACCCGGGGCTCGAACTTGTGAACTGCGAGATCATGACCTGAGCCGAAATCCGGAGTCGGAGGCTTAACCGACTGAGCCACCCAGCTGTTCCCGTCCACGAATCTTTCTGAAATCCATCTCTTGTGATAGTTGAGGAAGAGTTTACTTGGTTATGAGGTTAAAGGTCACAGTTGGTTCCCCACTTTGTTCAGTGAATGTCCTTTTATACCTCACTTGAGTTTTTACTATGATCCTCAAATCATTCTTTGTCTATGAATTACAGCCTCTATGGGGATGGGGGCACTTTTGTTTTGTATTGCTGTATATATGTTTTTCCAAACAGTGCATTTTCACGCACGAATTGCTTTTTTGTATGTTTTAATACTTCTTTATTGAAATAATTCATAAAATTATTTTTTGTCATATTATTTCATTTGTTATCTTTACCACTAACATGGGTTTTCTAGGTTGTGGGCTTGTATTTCACAGCTTTCAATGATTTTTTATTTAATCCTTTTACCTTTTGCTCATTTTAAGCCTGTCTATGACATTAATGAGTGACTTTTCAGCAGTGTGTCTGTTCCTTTCTCTTCTCTCCCAATGTGGTCTCTTTTAAATGATTTTTTAACTTTATTTTTGAAAGTTTTGGAGTTTTGCCAAGTCACTTCCTTCTTCCCTTGTCTTGTAATCTCTTTCATCCTAATTCTGCTTTGAAGTCCTATTTTTAAGGTTTCTAATGATTTGTTGTCTATCCATTACTAAAATTATTGGATAGCTTCTAAAGATGTTTTGCTCCAAGCCACGGGATTCTTTGAATATTAATATTCAATTACTTTTTCACTCCTGCCTCTTTCTTTTTAATAGCTACTGTGTTGGTTACTTTTTTCATGTCATTTTTATGAAGTTGAATTCTTAAACCCAATGAATTCATGATGGTAGTTTGCAGAAAAGTAAATGTCGGGGTTGTGCTATAGGAGGACCTCTTCCTGGCTCAAAATAATGACTGTTTAACACAGGACATTTGGAAAGTTTGTGGGACCTAGTTGGGAGTTTTCATAATATAAGAAATAATGAGCTACTGAGCTGCTTTTTATTTATGGTTCTTATTCATTCATGTCCCTCTTTGATGCCTACCACTTGGAAACACAGACAAAGCACAGTGATACGTAGGTAAAATTTTCCTTCCTACTCATAGGACTTTCCTGTTCCTATGTGTAGGGATTCCCTGGATATCCCTAGATTTCCTTTGAATAAAAATTCTAAAGGTAGAACATAATTTTACATTTCAATCTAAATTTGTCTTGAAGGCAAAATCTAACATAATCCCACGGCCAGTGCGTTACTAGTTTCCTGAGATCTTCCTTCTCTCTCCTTGGACTCTCCCATATGCTCTGGATAACTCAGTTGGTAAACCATATTTATAGAGAATCTTTTGGGCATTGTGAAGTGTCCTGGATATTGGCTACCTTTCTCCAGTTATCAGATGCTTGCATTAATACAGAGTTTCTCTTCCAGATCTGAATCAAAGTTCTGTCCTCTCCACTGGGTGACTCATAGGAAAACAAGAGGATACAGTACCCAGAATCCAGCTGTCACCTCCCCAGAAATTTAAACACTTCTCCAGTTCCTCAGACCCTTCAACTCACCCCAGAAGGCAAAAGATTCAATTCTCCATCATAGTACATGCATACAACGGGCAGAGAGCACAGCTTGGTAATCACCTTGGCATTGCCTATCTCTGTGATGCTGAAGACATTCTCATCTCTGTGCATTACAGAAGAGATTCAGATTTCCAGGTGTGGACCAGTGTGCAGGGGAGGGGTGTTCCCACTGTTCTGAAGGGCAGGTACCTTGAAGCTCAAGAGAGGTACTCAGAAGGGTATAGAGTCTCAGTCCAAGTGCCCTAAAAGGGAAAATATTGGTATAAAAGCTTAGGGCAGAGTTGGAACAGGATATCCAACCACTTTCTGGCCTCGTAGCCGTGGAGAAGGACAGCAAGGGACCGGGGTGAAACTGGGGCTCTTGTCAGTCTTGGAGATGAATGCCAGTTTTCTTCCTCTACAGAGTTGGTAAGCTTTGGAAGATGCTAGTGGAGCATTCTGCACTATGGAGACATGTACGTGACACCTTACAGGGTACGTATGGACTCTGGGAAAATGCTTGAGGGGATCCGCTTTATGTGGATGGCAGCTGGGATGGCATTTCTTACACAAAACCCATCTTGGGCCCTCCAGAGACTGTATATATGATGGCTCAGTGGAGCTTTGATACTGTCCAAGAGCCCTGAACAGCAGTCATTCCACTTTTTTTTTTTTTTAATCTTTATTTATTTTCAAGAGAGAGACCGACAGTGTGCAAGTGGGGGAGGAACAGAGAGAGAGGGAGACACAGAATCCGAACTAAACTCTAGTTGCGTGTCGCATACTTGAGGAAACTCCCAGTCACCAAACTTCCCCAATTCCTGGCAAGTCTAGAACTGCACAACTCTAAAATGTCCAAGTCCAAGTCATGGATCTTTGAGGAAAGTGACTTCTCTTCACTATTCTTCCAACACAACTTTGGCCTGGACCCTGTTCCTGTCTTCATGACAGGTAGGTGGTGACCTGGTCCAGGCTGAAGGCTCTGCATTTCGTGGGAGTAGTGGACATTTCCTTGAGTGTCAGGAAAGGGGCTCATGATGGCCCTCTCTGAGGTTGATGGGTTCTACCACCTAAAACTGGTGAACTTCTCAGCAGATGGATTCCTACAGGCAGTAGTCTGTATCTTCAGAAGCTTTAGAAACTCAGTAGGAGGAGAGCGAATGGTCTCATGAGCCAAGTATTGTCTCCACTAGAAAAGATGGATTCACTGCAGCCGCTGGAGCCACATATTCCTCCCACCACTGAAGCCTTGCCCTCTACTTGACACATGTGTGGTGGCCTCAGGCCCAGACCCCAAATCTTCAACCTCCTGGAAGTCCACGCCCCATGTCAGAAGGGAGGATGCCAAGGCTTTTCCACAGGAAGTTCTGCGCTACTTTGGTCCCCTTTAGTTCCAGCCCAACCTTATCCCGAAGGGTGGAAGTGATGCCACAAAAGGACTCGGTCCCATTTCTCACCACCCTTACTTACAAACCATATGCCCTTTTTATCCTTTCTCTTCCTGCAAGTGGTTATCCATCTGGGGTTCCTATTTTTCTGAGACATTTGAAACCGTGAGGACATAACTCATAAACTGTGGTCAGGCAATAGGCTTTTGAGCCAGATAAATATGAGCAAATAGTTGAGTAAATTGTATGCTGTATGGTTTTTGTCAGGTCATGTGAATCCTCTGCAAGCTGGCTTTCTAAGAGGAAAAGTGAAGATCATAATGGCAAACTTATAGGGTCTGAATAAATGGCAAGATTATCAGTAAATACCCGTCACCTAATATGTGATCAATATTGATGATGTATTTGGGCAGCTAGCTTCTTAGATCTTCCATGACTTCTCCATAGACTTCGTACAGAGCAGGGCTAGAAGATGTCACTGAGTTTAAGAGAATCAGTGGTCCTGGAATGGACACACCTCTGCTGGAATGGAGTCTGGGCTAGGGACCACAGTGCTAACCATGATTATCTTTGGGGATGTGGGTTTGGGGGTTATAGAAATTTTGAAGATTTTGAAATGTTTATTTTTCATATTAAACACTTCTTAAAAAGTGTGTGTTTTAGGAATGGTAAAAAGCATGTTACTTTTAAAGTAATGTTACCAACTTTAAGTAAAATATGCAAGATTTTATATGGCAGATGACAGAGGAAAGTAGTATTCTCTCAAGATGATGCTCATGGAGGCAAGAAGCCACATTCTGTGGTCTTGTTGGAAAGGGAAACATACAGGTCAGTGGCCTCTGGAGGGTAGTAGTTAACTGACTCTCTGAAACAGACAAAGCACTGATTTATACCATTTGCTGGTTTCCTTGTATACCGTGGCAAAATTCAAGCTAACAAAGGCTTTCCATCCAGTTTCCAAACCTCTGAATATTTTATAAGCAACTCTTAGGAGCCAGTCCATGTCAGATCAAGCATAACTGCCAGAGGCATTGAAGGAATATATAAAAGAAAATTAGTAACTCTCCTTTGTTGCCCCAGGGTAGGAGTATAATGGTGGAATTGAGAAGAACAATCTCACTAGGATGCTGTGGCTTATGTTTTAAGGAAGCCAGTTAGAGTAGCTCCTCTTACCTCTGAGCCAGTGACCTCTTGAATGGACCTAGCTTTTTGTAGTTGGGAAGAATAGAGTCCAGAAACATAAGCCCACTCCCTTACAAAACCAGCCCTGTCACAACTGTCACAACCGTTCTATTTGTTTGAAAAGGGAGGAGCTGCAAGGGTCTTGAGTGCTGCTGTAGGTGGAGCTCGGTGACGGTGAATGGACGAAGTTCCATGATTCCACACAATCAGGACCCAAGGGAAAACCGTGGTTGTGAATGACTTTCTTTCTGCAGTATTGGTATCATTCCTCTTTGAGGGTTAAATAGATCCGGCATTGATTAAATCTCGGTGGAGTTCTGGGATGCTGCCAAGGCTGACGCCCCAGGACAGAAATCCAAAGCTTAAGTGGTCCAGCCTCTTCAACTCTTACGACATTCTACGAGAAGTTATTTTAACTTTCAGTCACTAGGTGTGAAGGATGTAAGCTGCTTTGGACAGATCTATGTTCCATAGCTTGAAATTTCCCTAATGCGTAAAGAAGGTGTTTGGGGATGGGTGGATGGTAGTCCAAATCAAACTTCTATGTTAACTGTAAGTCAACACTATGGTCATTTTAAATTCAGAAAAGCGAGGTTACTGGATGGACTGGTCTAAGGAAGACTAATCCATCTATTTCTGGACTTAGTTACAGAAATAGGAAACAATAGGAAAAATATATCCTAAACCCAGACAATGTCATTACCTAATCTCAAAGGAAAAATGAGCTCCAGTACCACGCCAGAGCAGAAGGGGGCTTTTTCTATACTCAAAACTCCAGGAATTTTCAAAAGGAGGAGCTGTCAAAGGGAAATGTAATAAAAGTGCCAAAAGTGAAAAGAGAGTTGAGTGGGCACTTGACTACCTCAAAGCCTTTCCAGTGCAGCTTGGAAGTAGGTGCCTGGAAGTGATGAGTTGAGTGGATAGTTGACATTTCTTGGATAAGTTGGCTTCTCTTTGCATCCATTTACTTCATCTATGAAGTAGGAATAGTACGGGGACCTGGCTGTCATTTAAGTCCAAAGCTGCTGATTCTGTGAGACTCCCTAAGGATGCATTCGGCACCCTTTTTTATTACCATGTTTCTGCCATGTGCTTTGTCACACCTGTGCCATAGTTCCCTCATAATGATGTGAATCATAACACTTTAATATTTTTTGAGTTTGATTCAGCACATTTAAAGTTCACAGATTCTTGCCTGGTGTGTATTAAAGCTCCAGTTAAGATTTACTTACTGATAAGCTTCCCAAGACGGCAAATAAAGGTCAGTTGCCCCAGAAATTTTATTTAGAAAAGTGTATACGTGTTGATGAGAAAGAATTGATCTAGTAATCCAACAGAGTGATCCAAGTGACTTGAATTATCTGGAATATGTAAGGGCAGTTGTTCTTGATTTTTTTTTTTTTTTTAATTTAAACTTTAGTTGACTTATAGTGCAATATTGGTTTCAGGAGAATTCAGTGATTCATCACTTACCTGTAACACCCAGTGCTCAGCACAAGCACCCTGCTTAATACCCATCTGTTTGTTCTCATTAGGTGTCTGTTATTGTTGGTTTCTCTCTCTTCTCCAGCCCCCCACATATGTTCTGTGTTTTGTTTCTTAAATTCCACATATGAGCAAAATCATACGGTATTTGTCTTTCACTGATTGACTTATTTCCCTTACCATAATATGTTCTAGCTCCACCCACATCATTGCAAATGGCAAGATTTCATTCTTTTTGATGCCTGAGTTAAAGTCCATGGCATATATGTACCACCTCGTCTTTATCCATTCATCAGTCGATGGACCTTTGGGCTCTTTCCATACTTTGGCTATTATCAGTAGTGCTGCTATAACCAATGGGGTGCATATACCCTTTCGAATCCATATTTTTGTATCCTTGGGGTAAATACCTAAGAGTGCAATTGCTGGATCATAGGGTAGTTCTGTTTTTAGTTTGTTAGGGAACCTCAATACTGTTCTCCAGAGTGGCTGCACCAGTTTGCATTCCCACCAACAGTGCAAGAAGGTTCCCCTTTCTCCACATCCTCACCAACGACACTTGGTTCTTCTGACAGGTGGGAGGGGGTATCCAATCATGGTTTTGATTTGTATTTCCCTGATGATAACTGATGTTGAACATCTTTTCATGTGTCTGTTAGCCATCTGGGTGTCTTCTTTAGAAAAGCATCTATTCATATGTCTTCTTCCCATTTACTGGCTTGTTTTTTGGGTGTTGAGTTTGGTAAGTTCTTTATAGATTTTGGATACTAACCCTTTATCAGATGTGTCATTTGCAAATGTCTTCTTCCATTCTGTAGACTGCCTTTTAGTTTTTTTGATTGTTTCCTTTGCTGTGCAGGTTTTTATCTTGATGAAGTCCCAATAGTCCATTTTTGCTTTTGTTTCCCTTCCCTTTGGTGACGTGTCTAGTAAGAAGTTGCTCTGGCCCAGGGCAGAGAACTTGCTTCATGCGTTCTCCTCTAGGATTTTGATAGTTTCCTGTCTCACATTTAGATCTTTCATCCATTTTGAATTTATCTTTGTGTGTGGTGTAAGAAATTGGTCCAGTTTCATTGTTCTGCATGTTGCCATCCAGTTTTCCCAACACCATTTGTTGAAGAGGCTTTTTTCTATTGGATATTCTTTCCTGCTTTGTGGAAGATGAGTTGACTGTACAGTTGTGGGTCCATTTCTGGATTTTCTATTCTGTTCCATTGATCTATGTATCTGTTGTTGTGCCAGTACCATAATACCTTGACGACTGCAGCTTTGTAATACAGCTTGAAATCTGAAATCGTGATGCCTCCAGTTTTGTGTTTCTTTTTCAGGATTGCTTTTGCTATTCAGGGTCTTTGGTGGTTCCATACAAATTTTAGGACTGTTTGTTCTATCTCTGCAAAAACTTCTAGTGGTATTTTGATAGGGCTAGCATTAAATGTG